CACCCACCACTCACCGCTGCGGTCTAGTGGTCATCACCAGAGCAGTAGCTGCCCACCTCCCAGCTCTGCACCCTGGCTCCCCTCCACACCAGGACTGCAACAGTCCTTCTACCTTGTGGGCTCCAGGACTCGGTGCCCCGCCTTCGGCACCGTCCCTACGGACTCACATCCCTTTAGCTGCCCCGGACTCCTCTGGCATCTTGCAGCCACTCCCCTGCACACTCACACTGCAGCGGCCCCATCTCTCTCCGACATTGCTGCTTGGCCAGGCTCCTGCGTGCCCAAACCTAACTCTGTCCACACCTTGCCTGCCCCCTGCACAGGAGGCAAAATTTCATCACAGCTCCCCAAGGGGCACCAGCAGCAACCATCCCACCCTGGTGCATCGGCTCTCCCGCCTCTCTCTCCCCAAACTTGCAACACCTCCCTAAGCTCATGTGCCTACTTTGCTGCTTATTTCACTGGCCCTTCTGGTCCTCCCAACACAGAGCTCCGTGTGTGTCCACACAATCACCGCCTGCAGCTGGCAATGAACTGGTGGTGCCAAGCCCTCCAGTCTGCTCTGGGTTCCGTCCCTTCTCATGGTCTCAAGGACTCTGTTCAAATATCCCTCCTGCCAACATCATCAAGGGTTCCCTTTCTAACATGCGATCCGTCAGCACACAGCGAGTTGTAATCATCCCCCTGCTTGAAAACAAAGCTTCAATAAGACAATCGTGTGAGCCCCCACAGCAGAGATGGCCAAGTGCCCACAGCACCCATGCTTCCCCATCCCGTGTTGAGAGATGGCCTAGAAGCAGCAGCCTCGCCAGGAACTGTGTCCCTCCACACCTTCTGCCTTGTCACCAGTTCTCAGCAGTGGGGTGTGAACGGAATAAATGTGGGTCACTTCTGGGCTAAAATGGTCAAAATACAGGTGGATGAGGGCTGGGCACAGTGGCTCACACCTATAATCCCTAAAGATTCTAGGGTTTTTAAAAAATATGTAAGTCAGAGCATTCATATCGCTCCTCTCCTCAAAACCCTTGAAGATCTGTATGCTTCAGCCCCATCTCTGTTCTGCTTTTCCCACTCACTTCACCCCAACCATACTGGCCTCCTTCCTATTTCCTGAGCATAAAAGCACATGCGCACCACAGGCCCTTAGCTTTTACCTTCCCTCTGCCGGCAATATTCTTTCCCCAGTCAACTGTGCGTTTTGTCCCCTCATCTATTTGGGTCTCTTTCAATACTGCCTCCACAGAGAGGTCTTCCCCAACTGCCCCACCCAAAGTGGCAACGTGACCCTTACTCTCTACCCCTTACGCTGACTTGTTCTTTCCACAGCATGATCACTGCTTGTCACTACATTCCATTCATTTATGTCTTGGTGTGTTTCCGTCTCTCATCGGCGTGTTGCTCCTCACACCAGTGAGAACAGGGAATTATCTTGTTTGTTCACTGCTGCCTCCCTGTGCCTAGAGCAGTGGGTGGTGCATTATCAGCACTCAGTAAAGTCTGTTCAACAAATGAATATTCATATTACTAACAAGAAAGACACCCTGTTGCCCAGGCCGGAGTGCAGTGGCATGGTCTTGGCTCACTGCAACCTCCACCTCATGGGTTCAAGCAATCTCCTGCCTCAGCCACCTGAGTAGCTGGGATTACAAGTGTGCACCACCATGCCCGGCTAATTTTTGTATTTTTAGTAGAGGCAGGGTTTTCCCATGTTGGCTGGGCTGGTCTTGAACTCCTGACCTCAGATAATCCAAAGTGCTTTGAGAGGCACTTGGCCTCTCAAAGTGCTAGGATTACAGGCATAAGCCACCACACCCATCCCAAGGAAAATATTCTTAATATCCACTAAGAGATCAAGGAAATTATTCCACCCATAAAACAAGCAGAAACTAGGAAACAAGAAGTTATAGGAAGAACCAAATAGGGATTCTGAAATGGAAATCATACATTCTGAAATGGAAATGCTAGTGATTTGGGGCAGGGCGCGGTGGCTTGATGGGAATGAATCCAAAAAACAAAACAATGGGATGAGAGAAACTGAAAATGAGTGTCAATAATACTTTCATAGAATTTTGTAAATTGAAGCAAAAGGGGTGGTAGCTTAAGAAGAAAGAGGGGCTCAAACAGAGGGGGACTTTTTGGAAGACACAGAAAAAAATGGCGTATTTGTACATTGATGGGAATGATCCAGTAGAGAGGGAAAGATAAATGCCAAAGAGAGTTGAGAGCAGGCAAAGAGGGGTGGGCTCTAGGCACACAGTGATGAGTTAGCATGGATGAGAGAGACCAAGCTGGGTGGAGGGAAGGCAGAATGTGGGGGCACCAAGGCAGGTGAGCTGGCGAGAGAATTAGACTGTTGGCTTCTGCTGGCTTCTTTTGTTTTAGTGAAATAAGAAGAAAGGTCATATGAGAGAGAGGATGGAAGAGAAGGTGGTAGGTAGGTTTGAAGAAGGAAGGTGGTGTCAAATAGCCCTTGATTTATGTGTTCAAATATAAGGGTAACAGAAATAAAATGTACAACTGACAGACCAAGACAGAAGAAGAATGTAACAAGAAAAGTTAATGTATACAGAAGTTAGGAATAATGAAACCAGGATTTAAAGGGAAAATGTGGTAAACAAGAAAACATATAGTAAGTCCAAACATGTCAATAATTACAATAAGTGTGAACAGGTTAAAATGACTAATTAAAAGGCAGAGGCTTTTCTTCTGGATTTTACAAAAAGAAATGTAAAGCTTATTTGGCAGCTAAGGCTGATGAAGCTAAACATATCAGTTACTAAAACAAAGTCTGGACATACTTCCACCAAACTGTAAACAGTAGTGTAACTCACTGGTTGAGTGTATGGGTTGAGTGTATGAGTGATCTTTATTTTCATTACACTTTTCAGTATGTTCTGAATTTTTTAGGAAGTGTATAAATTATTTCATAATTTTAAAAAAATGGAAGTTTAAAAAAAAATCATCGATGCCCTTCAGCAAGTCTTCATGGAGCCTTTATTTGTTATCCAGATCCCTTCCAAAGAGGCTCTAAAGAAGGGTCCCAGACTAGCAGGAGCTCGCTGGAAATAAGACCAACTGGACCATAATAGAAGAATACAGGACATGGCTGGGTGCTGTGACTCACACCATTTTGGGAGGCTGAGGTGGGTGGATCACCTGAGGTCAAGGGTTCAAGAAGAATGCAGGACAGTGTAAAGATGGGACCCCACTGAAAACTCTGAGCCCTGGATGTAGGCAGGAATAAGCAAAGATAGCCTGCTGGGGGAGGCAGTATTTGGAATGTTCCCAGTCCGCATAGTAGGTGGCCTAAGGGTGAGCGTGGGGACAGCATTCCAGGCTGGAGGTCTAGCATGAGCAGGGATGAGAACTGAGCAAGTATGTGTAGGGCACATGGTGGCAGCAGTGGATGAGTCAAGGTGCAGAGTCCAGGGAGGCAAAGAAGTTGGCTTGGTAAGCCACGTGGAGGGGCAGGAGAGAGAGTGGGTGAAGCAAAAAGAAGTAGATGGGAGGGGAGTTGTGCCTCAAATGGAGAGTTTTGTGCCCAAAGCACATAAGAGCAAACACCTGGGTTGCCATCACTGCTGCACTGCACATGTATGCATGCACACATGTTCACACATGCACTTGTGCAAACGTGCACACATACACAGGCATGTGCACACACCCACATACACATACACTTTTTTTTTTTTTTTTGAGACAGCCTTGCTCTGTCACCCAGGCTGGAGTGCAGTAGCATAATCTCGGCTTGCTGCAGCCTCCGCCTCCCAGGTTCAAGAGATTCTCCTGCCTCAGGCTCCCAAGTAGCTGGAATTACAGACAGCACCAACACCACGTTTATCTAACTTTTATATTTTTAGTAGAGCCGGGATTCTGCCATGTTGGCCAAGCTGGTCTTGAACTCCCAACCTCAAGTGGTCTGCCCACCTCCCATAGTGCTGGTCTCCCAAAGTGCTGGTATCACAGGCATGAGCCACCCCACTTGGCCATACACACACACATACACACACACACACACACACACTCTCTCTCTCTCTCTCTCTCTCTCTCTCTCTCTCTCTCTCTCTCTCTCTCTCTCTCTCTCACCTTTGTGTACTCTGGACCTTTTGTCTAGAGAATTAGCTATTGAGACCAAGGGAGCTCTCTTGGCCTTGGTCTAGCCTTTCCTGAACCCCACACTCTGTACCAGCACACACTGCTGCCTGCCCCCTTGCCTTGGTAAGGCATCGCTAGCTGTTATTGACTGGGAGCCCCTTGGCTTTTAAGCAGGATTTGACCCAAGGGTTTGCAGTGTGGGGTGGGTCCAGGGGCAGGAGTCAAGGCAGGAAGACCAGGGAAGGAATAGGTGTGGAGTTGGGGAGGTGGGGAGAGAGAAATCCTTAGGAGGCAAAACTAGCAGGGCTTGGTCCCTGGTGAGATCAGGAGACAGGGAGCACGAGGTGTGAACCAAGACGCTGGGTTTCAGGCCAGGGACTGTGACATGGGAGGCCATAGCTGAAGTGGGGCTCTGAGGAGGTGTAGATTTGGGGAGGGGACAGGGATCTTAGGGTGGCATTGGACACACTGAACGTGGGGAGTCTCTGGGGTGTCTGCTGATGCTGGGAAGCTCCACTGAGGGCTCAGGACAGGGTAACTGCAAAGGGGGCACAGGGCATCAACCACAGCAGGTGAGGAGATGGGGGCCGGGGTGGGGCCACAAGCGGGGCCCGGCCGCACAGCCTGGGAGGCACAGAGGCTGGGCAGCTTCAGTGACCCAGGGCCACGCAGAGGCCTGTACAGCTCCCTAGCCCCAAGTTAGGGGGACTCTCTGGCCCACCTTCTCCTGGCTCAGCCACCCTGGGATGTGGGCAGGCAGGGGCACTGAAGGGAGCAGACAGCCCTGGCATCCCACAGCCGCCAAGAGAAGAAACCAGGCCTCCCCCAGACCTGGCAAAGACCAGCCCCAGCCCCCAGAGTGGGGAGGCCAAGGTTCCCTCGGGCCTGAGCCTCCCTCAGCACTGGTTAAATTTTGACCAAGGAAATGATTGCTGAACTCAGTTCCATAAGCATCACCCGGTCACACTTTATTTCCAGTCTGGAATTAACGTCTTCAGTCTCCACACTCTGTACTTCCCAAAGTCAGCTTTTCTGGGAGGGCTGGGGCAGCTGCCTCTCTGGGGAGATGCTGGAGGTCTCGGAATCACCTCGTGTGGCCTCAGGACCTGGTTGGAGCCACACCAAGTGACACCAGCAGTCAGATGCCCAGAGAGCCTGAGCCTCCAGCCCTAGTCTGCGAAGCCAGCGATTGCTGACATGCTCCCAGCCGCCCAGCTGGAGAAGCCACTGTGGGCACCGCTGTGGGGGAAGCAGGCCCGTCGCCCGGGCCCCTTTGCTCTGGGCCAGTCTCTGTGAGGTGGGCCCCTCTCCTGGGCCCCTTGAGCAGGTTCTATGGCATTTTCTGAACTCCTGGACCTCGTGGGCGGCCTGGGCAGGTTCCAGGTTCTCCAGACAGTGGCTCTGATGGTCTCCATCATGTGGCTGGCCACCCAGAACATGCTGGAGAACTTCTCGGCCGCCGTGCCTAGCCACCGCTGCTGGGCACCCCTCCTGGACAACAACACAGCCCAGGCAGGCGTCCCAGGGGAGCTAAGTCCCGAGGCGCTCTTGGCTGTCTCCATCCCACCAGGCCCCAACCAGAGACCCCACCAGTGCCGCCGCTTCCGCCAGCCACAGTGGCAGCTCTTGGACCCCAACACCACGGCCTCCAGCTGGAGCGAGGCTGACACAGAGCCGTGTGTGGACGGCTGGGTCTATGACCACAGCACCTTCACCTCCACCATCGTGACAAAGGTAGGGCCTCCCCCAGAGCCCCTCGAGTCCGGCACCATGAGGTCAGGGCCATGGATCACAGTGGGTCGGACTCAAAGGTCCCGTCCTGGGAGGGACCAGTCTCCCCAGGCCCCGCTCACTCTCGAGCCTCTCAGCCCCTTGTCAGCCACACACAGGGGAGTGGGCGGCAGGGATCAGTCTACAGACCGGGCCAGCCCAGGCTCCTGGAGGTGCAGGGGGGCACCTGGGCGGGCACCTCTGAATGCTGGCACCTAGACCCTCGCTGGCCTCACCTGGTCCCAGCCCTGCTGACGCATCAGCCGTGACTCTGGTCAACTCAGCCGCAGGGGACTCAGTGATGATTCACTGGATTCCCCGAGCCCAAAGCACACAGGGGTAAGGGACCACCCAAGGCTGCCTCCCAGACTGGGCACTAGGCAAATCCAGGCAAGTGGAGAGGGGCAGCTCCTCCCAGCTAGTGGGAAGGACCTCTTTAGAAGGAAGCAGCCTCTGGGAGAAGGGCCAGGGTGTCAGCTTGGGTGGCTGCCACCAAGTGGAGAGGCAGGAGAGAGAGGCAGATGTAGCTAGAAACCCACTGGGCAATAGGAGCCATGGAGAGGCTTAGGCCGAGGGTGGCTCCTCCAAAGTCCAAACTATGCCTATGGGTGCCCTCCCTGTTCCACAAGGTCTTGCTGTAAAACCCTAGAGGTCACCAGGCCACCCACCCCGCCCAGCTCCCTGGGAGCCTCTGATACAGTTCCTCTGCCCCTCTGCCGGGGATCTCCAGGCATCCTGAGCTCAGCCCCCTCCTCTCCCACCAGTGGGACCTGGTGTGTGAATCTCATGCACTGAAGCCCATGGCCCAGTCCATCTACCTGGCTGGGATTCTGGTAGGAGCTGCTGCGTGCGGCCCTGCCTCAGACAGGTGAGTACACCCAGTCCAGACAGGCCCCCATTCCCCTCACTGCCCCTGCTCTCCTAGACCCCTGGCCCTGACTGGCCCCAAACAAGCCTCACAAAACCAAGCCTAGAAGGCACCTACTTATTGGGTGTGGGTCTCGCATTTGCCACCCTGCAGTTGTGCCACGTAGGGAGACCTGGAACCCTCTCTGAGCCTCGAGTTCACCAACTTTACTCTGGGAGTGTTAGAGGATTGCTGCTCCCCAGCAAACATTTGCTGCTAAAACGGGGTTGGCCAGGCACCTGCCTTCAGCTGCTACCCGAGTGCTCCCGGTGACTGGAACCCATTCCCTTTGGATCCAGCCTCGGGATGCTCCTTGTGGTTGAGTCTTCCATAGGTGGAGAAGGCAGGTTTTACCCAGGTGCCACTTCAGTGTTACCTCAGCTCACTGGGCAAGCACAGGGTGGGCTCTCGGTGGTCCAGACCCCACCCCACCCCCAGCCAGTGCTGTGGCAAGCCACAGATCCCACCTCTTCCTGGTTTGTGCTGCAGGCTCGGGCGCAGGCTGGTGCTGACCTGGAGCTACCTTCAGATGGCCGTGACGGGCACAGCAGCTGCCTTCGCCCCCGCCTTCCCTGTGTACTGCCTGTTCCGCTTCCTGTTGGCCTTTGCCATGGCGGGCGTCATGATGAACACAGGCAGTCTCCGTAAGTCTCCAACCTGGCACCATGCAGGGGGGCTCCATGCAGGCTCCAGGGCTGACCCACTTGGTCTCTTTGCAGTGATGGAGTGGACAGCGGCGTGGGCCCGACCCTTGGTGATGACCTTGAACTCTCTGGGTTTCAGCTTCGGCCATCTCCTGATGGCCGCGGTGGCCTACGGAGTGCAGGACTGGATGCTGCTGCAGCTGGCCGTCTCAGTCCCCTTGTTCCTCTCCTTTTTGTGCTCATGGTGGGTGCGGCACCCCACTCCCCACCCCGGAGGAGATCCTGCCCACTCTCCAACCGGGAGAATGGGAGACTCTCCTTTCCCTGGAGGCTGGGGAGTGCTAGAGGCTAGGGGTGCATGGGCAGCAGGAAAGCCAGGAGCCTGGCAGAGTGGACCAGCCACAAGCCCCAGACACCCGCTCCAGCCAGGGCTCAGGTCCCCAGGGCGCCTCTCCTGCTCCTTCCAAGTGCGCTTTCTCCTACTCATTCTTCTCCTTTCCTCCCTCCTTCTCCTCACCTTTTGGCCTGTTCCCCTCTCCTGTACCTGCCTGCCTTGGCATCTGTGCTGCCAAGCCCATCTTCTGAGCCCCTCCTCTGTGCCAGGGATGGCAGCACTGAGCTAGGCTGGGGGGGGTGGAAAGATATAACACACACACGCACACACAGCACACAGCCGCAGTCTGCCTCATAGGCTGACATTATCGATGCATGTGTCTGTCTGCTAGAGAACAGGGACCAGGATCCACTCATCAGAGAGGACCCCAAAGTCCCCCACAGGGCCGGCAAGTGTGGGAGGTTAGGAAATGTCAGCACTTACCTGAAATAAATCAGGCTTGGTCTTTGCCACGCACCTGGCACATAGTAGGTGCTAAATAAATACTTGTTGAATGGATGGATTAATAGGTAAGTAGAAATAGATAGGTAGATACAGATAGACAGATAAATGGGTTGACAGATGGGTGGATTGGAGGAGTTCATGGGTGAGTTGGTGGATAGATGGATTGGATTGTATAGTTTAATTGAATGGATGGTTGGTTGGATGGATGAACAGATAGATGGATGGATGGATGGATAGTTGGATAGTTGAATGGATGGATAGATGGATGGATGAAGTGGATGGATGGATGGACTAGATGGAATGGATGGATGGATGGTTGAATGGTAGTTGAATGGATAGGATGAACGGACAGATGGATGGATAGATAGATGGAATGGATGGATGGATAGATAGATGGAATAGATGGATGGATGGATGGGATGGATGGGATAGATGGATGATGGGATGGATGGATGAAATGGACAGATGGATGGATAATGGATCAAATGGATGGATGGGATGCATGAATGGGATGGATGGATGGATGGATGGATGGTTGAATGGATAGATGGGATGGATGGATAGGTGGATGGATGGAATGGATGGATGGATAGATGGGATGGATAGATGGATTGATGGATGGATGGAATGGATGGATGGATTGGATGGATGGATGGATGGAATGGATGGATGGATGGGATGGATGGATGGATGGATGGGATAGATGGGATGGATGGATGGTTGAATGGATGGAACGAATGAATGGGATGGATGGATGGAATGGATGAATGGAATGGATAAATGGATGGATGGAATGGATGGATAGGATGGATAGATGGATGAATTGGATGAACTGGATGTATGAATGGATAGATGGAGGGACAGAGGCCATTTGCGGGTGGGGCTGAGCCTGGCTCATTTATACAGAGGCCCTGCACTTAGTAGTTGTTTGGCCATTGGGACCACCACAGAAAGGAGCACAGCAGACGCTCAGTGGCGAACAGGTGCCAGCACCCATACTGGGAAGAAGGCTGACTCCACAAATCTCTCCCACCTTGGAGTGGAGTAACAATTTTCAGCCACTCCTTAGAGCAGGAGACAATTACATCTCACACAGTGGCTCCACAAGGAGGCAATCATGTCTGACAAGAGCATTCTGGGGTGGCAGCTTGACCCCCAACACCAAGAGCGTAGAGAGTAGAAGGTAAAAGTTCTCCTATGCTGATGCAGGGCCACAGAGCTGAACCCGCTTTCCTTAGTATACACGCTCCCACAGTGCTGAAGAAGTGCCCATTCATTCATTACTTCATCCATTCAACAAATAACTACTGAGCACCTATCATGTCCCAGGAGCGGCTGACACCAGCTATGAACAGATATGTGGTCTCTGCCGACATGAAGTTCATAGGGAATCCCACACGTCGTGGCCTCACAAACTGTGCCTAGGGCTTGACGAACAAGCTGGAGTGTGGACATCTGAGAATGGGGCTTGCTTTCTCCCTCCCAGTCACCTCCAACACATCCCAGCCAGGTTTCTCTATCTTCTCCACCAAAACTGCCCTTCCCAGGTCACCCACAATGATCCGGCCACCATTATTTGCTGTCCACACTCTCTCCATCAGGCAGTCTCACCCCTGCTTGCAGCCCCACCTCCCTCCAAATGCTGCAGACCCCAAATCTCCACTCAGTCCTGCCTCCCCCAGCGACCTCCAGCCTCGCGCCTCCAACTGCCCATATGACGGTTCCATTATTGATATCTCATCCTCACAAACATCTCCTTAGGCCTCTCCTCCCGAAGCCTTCCCCAGTGTGGGGAACAGCCCCCAAACTCACCAGATGTGGAGTCACAATGGCCATGATGCCTCTCTCTCCCTCGCCATCCCCCCACCAAGTGCATTAGGTCACCAGGTTCATCAATTCTACCTCTAATATGGACCTGGAATCCCCACATCTCCCGCCGTTCTGAAAATCCCTAAGGAACTCAGGGTCCCGGGGGATGTGGGGCAGGTGGCCCCACCCTGGCTGCTCATAGGGGACAGCATGTCTGGCTGAAGGACCTCCAGGAGCCAAGGCCTAAGGCAGGTGCATTGTAGAGCGGCAGGCGTGACAGACACTCAGCAGGATGGGCGGGGTGGCGCAGGGAGCTCGGTTAGACAGACGCTGAGGGGAGTGGGAACCAGGTCAGTGTGAGGGCTGGGTCCTGCCTTGAGGAGGGGAGGGGCTGTGTTCTTGAGGCGGAGGTAGCAAGGTAGCGGGGACTCACGTGCGAGGGGCGCTGGAGGCATGGGAACCAGCAGACTGGGGGCAGCCAGAGGGCGCTGGTGCTGTGAGGACCCTGCCCCCAGCCTGAGCCCCAGGGTGGCAGTGAAGCTGTTTGCAGGAGGATGCAGCTGTGGGGTGGACAGGAAAGCCGTGTGGTATGGGAGATGCCCAGGCAGAGGTGGACCCTGGCAGCCTCGGAGACAGTGGTCCTGTAGCCATAAGGGCCCTGACTGCAACCAAGTCAGATTCCTAGTGAGGCAGGGGAAAGGCTGTGAGGTCGGGAGGGAGGCAGGAAGGAAGGGGACAACAGAGTTCTCCCTCCCTCCACCCCAGCAGCCAGCCCCAGGATGAGAACTGCAGACTGCAACCCCCCAGGAGGGAGAGAGAAAGCAGAAGGGGTCGCCTGCTGGGGAAGGAGAGCAGCCGAGAGGGCATGGCTGCCACAACGCCCTTGGGGGTCCTCAGCCGCCCTGAGCCCTAGGCCTGGAGGAGGGAGTACAGGGGGGCGGTCTGAGGCTGGGGAAGGCCAGGTCCTGGGGGCCACGGGCAGTGACCCCTCCCACGCCCCCTCTTCAGGTGGCTGGCAGAGTCTGCACGATGGCTCCTCACCACAGGCAGGCTGGACCAGGGCCTGCAGGAGCTGAGGAGGGTGGCTGCCATCAACAGGAAGGGGGCAGTGTGTGACTCGCTGACCCCTGAGGTGAGGCTGCGTCCTCCTCAAACCTGGATCCTCAGACCGTCTCCCTGGCCCTGCACAGGGCACCCTGGGAGACTCACCAAGGACCTCTGCTCCCTGGGAAGAAGGTCTCAGAGAGGAAGAGGTGCCCAGTGCCCCCAGTGCCAACAGCACCCACTGTCACCTCCGCAGGTCTTGTTTTCAGCCATGCGGGAGGAGCTGAGAGTGGGCCAGGCTCCTGCCAGCCTGGGCACCCTGCTCCGCATCCCCAGCCTGCGCCTCCGGACCTGTATCTCCACATTGTGCTGGTAGATGCCCTTCCCCCAACCCCACCTCCACAGGGGAACCTGGAAACTCAGCCCCCAGCCTCTCCCAGCTCCACTTGGTCCCCTGGCCTGAAGCAGTCACCTTCCCCTCTGTCAGTCACTCCTGACAGGAGACAGCCCAGGCTGGGTGGGCTCACTGAGGGGGCTTTAATGAGGGGCAAAGCAGATAGAAGCGATGAATTCGATCCCTAATGAAGCTCCTGGGAGGGCTAGGAGCCAGGCGGGACATGGGGCGATCCGGCAGAGCATGGGTAGCAAGCACCCTCGCCTGGTGTGGAGGGGCTGGGGAGGGTGGAGCAGACTTACCAGAGTCCAGAACCCACGGTCATCCAGTAAAGACAACACCACCCAGGCCAAGGAGAGAGGGCCTGTTCACGCAGAGGGAGGCAGAAACCCCCTGCTTCCCCCTCCTCCTGCATCCCCCCTCCTCCAGCCTCTCACCAATGCCTCCCATCAGCCTAACCCAAAGGGAAGCCATGTTGGCAAGGGGACCTGGGAAACACAGCCTAGAGACCAGCCCTGCCACACAGAGCCAGCAGCTGAAGGGCCAGAAGAGCAGAGTGGCCCCACCCTGCCCCCTGCCCTCTGCCCACTGCTCCCACCCTGTCCCCTGCCCCCTGCCCCCTGCCCACCGCCCCCACCCTGACCCCCTGCCCCCTGCCCACTGCCCACACCCTGACCCCCTGACCCCCTGCCCACCACCCCCTCCTTGACCCTCTGACCCACCTGCCCACCACCCCCACCCTCCCCACTGCCCCCTGCCTACCGCCCCCACACTGACCCCTGCCCCCTGCCCACTGCCCCCACCCCGACCCCTGACCCCTGCCCACCACCCCCACCTTGACCCCTGCCCACCGCCCCCACCCTGACCCCCGACGCCCTGCCCACCACCCCCACTGACCCCCTGACCCCCCTGCCCACTGCCCCTACCCTGCCCACTGCCCCTACCCTTACCCCCTGCCCATCACCCCGACCCTGTCCACTGCCCCCACCCTTACCCCCTGCCCACCACCCCCATCCTGACAACCCTGACCCCCACCCCCACCCTGACCCCCTGACTGCCACCCCCACCCTGACACCCTCTGTTCACCACCCCCACCCTGACTCCTCCCCCCAACTGCTCCCACTCTGACTCCGCTGCCCCCTACTCGCACCCCCAGGTTTGCCTTTGGCTTCACCTTCTTTGGTCTGGCCCTGGACCTGCAGGCCCTGGGCAGCAACATCTTCCTGCTCCAGACACTCATTGGTGTTGTGGACATCCCAGCCAAGACGGGCTCCCTTCTGCTGCTGACCTACCTGGGCCGCCGCCCCACACAGGCCGCATCCCTGTTGCTGGCAGGGCTCTGCATTCTGGCCAACACACTGGTGCCCCAGGGTAAGGGTACAAAGCTGTGTACCAGAGGCTTCCCTACCTGGGGGGGGCTTGAGCTGGGAACAGAGACCTTGGCCCCTCCTTGGAAGTGCTGGATGAGAGCAGGTCCCCTGTTAGGGAGGAGGCTGCTAGAGCCATCTAGGGACAGTGACTGTGCTGGGCCAGCAAGAGCCATAAAGGAGTGGCAGGGGTGGCGCCAGGGAAAAGTGTGGAGATAAAATGAGAATTGAGTGATGGATTGCAGCAGGAGGAAAACGAGGGTCAAGGAAGAGTCCCAGGATCTGGCTCTGGGTGTCTCAGTGTGGAGCAGATTGTGGGTGTGGCCATGAGGTCACTCAGGACAGGACACCCAGGTAGAGATGACTCCCAAACATTTGGAGAGAGGCCTGCAGCTCAGGCATAAGCCACCTGGGCTGAAGGGAGTTCCCATCTGATCTTGGGCCCCCCACCAAGCTCACTAGTCCCATCTTACTCACAGAAATGGGGGATCTGCGCTCAGCCCTGGCCGTGCTGGGGCTGGGCGGGGTGGGGGCTGCCTTCACCTGCATCACCATCTACAGCGGCGAGCTCTTCCCTACCGTGCTCAGGTGAGGCTGGGCCTGGGCTCCAGGAGAGGGGCACCCTGGGCTGGGCTGAGGGGCACCCCCGGGCAGGAGTGGCTTCCCTCAAACCTAGATGTCCATGTCATGCGTCCCTCTTGTGTGGTCTCAGGGATACTCAGATGTGTCCCAAGCCCAGCCTGACCCTCTGGACCCCCCTGGGCCAAACAGGCCTGACCGGGGGTGCAGGGTCAAGGTCAAGGGCAGGCACACTAGGCACTCACAGGTGCATCTGCATTGGCAGGATGACCGCAGTGGGCTTGGGCCAGATGGCGGCCCGTGGAGGAGCCATCCTGGGTCCTCTGGTCCGGCTGCTGGATGTCCACGGCCCTTGGCTGCCCTTGCTGGTGTACGGGATGGTGTCGGTGCTGAGTGGTCTGGCCGCACTGCTTCTGCCTGAGACCCAGAACCTGCCACTGCCTGACACCATCCAAGATGTGCAGAACCAGTGAGTGGACCCAGCCTCAGGACCACCCCTCCCTCCCACCAGAGAACCCCAGCACAGGGCAGCCTGCTCACCCAACCCCGCCACTGGACAGAGCGGGAAGCAGAGGCCCAGGTAGATGGAATTGGCCCAGAATCACATAGCACATCTCTGGGAGAGTGGTGACCCAGGGCTCAGTCTTGGGCTACCAGGGCTTTGACCCAGGGCTTTGTCCTCTGCCTTTCACTCCACCATTTGAGGCACAAATGGCCAAGCTCCCCCAAGTTCAGCCCGAGAGAGACCAAGGGGAAAGGAGTGGATGGTCCTCCCTGAGAGGGAGATCCAGCCATTGCTGGGTGCCCTCACAGGCCTCAGATTCTACCTCTAAAGCCCTGATGGCTGACAGGGCAGTCACTGCACAGCCCACCCCCATCACATGCTTGGGAGCTCAGTTCTGGGCCTCTGAGAGCAGGATAGTGGCATCCTCTGAGTCCTTGGGATGGACACAAGTCAAGGGTCAGGGGTCACTCTGCACCCCAAGACACATCCCCATGTGCTTTCTGAACAGGGCAGTAAAGGCCGCAACACATGGCATGCTGGGTAACTCTATCCTGAAATCCACACATTTTTAGTCTCCTGGGGAGCCTGCAATGGGATGTTCGGAGGAAGAGTCTTCTTCTGTCATCTGGAGAAAGCAGGAGGAGAGCAAAGGCCTCCGCTTCCACAGGACCCAGAGGCTGCCCTCTTAGGTTCCCATTCTCCCCAGGGGTGCCCCTCCAGCTGAGCTCTGCCCCTTTCACAACAAAAGGGCCCCCTTCAATACTGAAGGGGCAAAGGATGGTTTGATTGGCAGGAGGTGGCCCAGGGCATCATCACCCTGCTCTGCCCTCCTGGCTTTGGAAAGCAGAGGAGCCAGGCCCAGGGGAATGAGCTGGCCAACTCTCTGCTTGCCTCCTCACTGCCACTTGTCCCCCCACCGCCGTCCACCTGTCCAGAGCTCAGAGCTAACCACCATCCATGGTCAAGACCTCTCCTGGCTCCACACAAGCAGTAGTCTCAGCTCTGCAGCTTTACCCAGAAGCCCCTGTGAGCCTGGCCCCTGGCCCCTCCCCATGTCCCTCCAGACCTCAACCACCTGCCCACCACATCCTCTACCTGCAGTCCTCTTCCCACCCTCATCCCTGACAGACTCTACTTAACCCCCAAACTCAGGCCAGTGGCCCTCCTTCCAGGGGTCCAAGGCCAGCCAGAGGTGCCCGTGAAACTCCTACCCACAGTTACAGCCACAAGCCTGCCTCCTCCCACCCTACCAGCCTATGAGTTCCCAGAGGGTTGGGACAGTCCCATGACCCCATGTCCCAGCTCCCCACACAGTGCTGGGCCAGAGGGGCATTGTTGCAAGGGATTGAATAAAGGAACAAATGAATGGCTGCCCCTCACAGACTCCAGTTATGAGCCTCCAGGGTCCTCCTGAGTAGGGAGGAAGAGGAAGGTGCTGGGGGCTCCTTGCTGGGGTGGGCTTTCCCAAGCCAGCTTCCCTGCCCCACGTACCAGGCCAGAGTGGCTGCTGTTTCCAGCCCCGGTTGTGGGCCCGGTGCTGTGCTGGGCACCTCAAAGCATCATTTCACTTCACCTTTTTCTAAACCCTGAAGGGCAAACATTGCCCCATTTTACAGATGAAAAAAACTGAGGCTTGAAGAACCTGATGGCCCATGACACTCAGCTATGTGGGAGCAGTATCAGGATTCGAACCCTTCAGTAGGCCACCGGAGCCCCACTCTGGCCACAACACCCTCAGCCTCCCCCAACCCAGCCTCACCATCTGGGTGTCCAGTAACTCTCCAGGAGGCAGTGGCAAGGCCAGGGGACCACAGTGTCCATGAGCATGGCTCTCGGAGAAATGCAGTGCAGTGCACACAGAGGTCGGGGTGCAGGCAGCAGCCATTTGCTGCCCAAGCAGGTCCCTGCCAGCCCACCTAGTCACCTGCACCACCTGGGGCCATGCTCAGATGGTCTCTAGGTCCACCTGTGCATGCATTTATGCTTCCAGGCACCTCCACTGAGCGCTGTGCCCCCGCCCAACACATACGCATTAGCTATGTGTGCACACATGCCCACATGCACATGTGTACACACGGGATGGAAAAACAGAAAGCAGCTCTTTGTCCCCACAGGAAGGGGTCACTGCTTAGCCTGGTCTCGTCAGCTGCAGCCCCTGGGCCTCTGGGGGGCCATGTTCTCTGGCTGTCTACCTATGGCCACCCCTCAGTAAAGAACCACAAGCAGGATCCTGCTTGTGAAGATGCCTGAATACTAGGTCATCTCAGTCTGCCCTGGACTCCTTGTCTTTTGTCTATCTGCTGCCCAGCTGAGGCCCAATGGCCTTTCTTACCCTTGAACAGCATTCTTGAAACCTTAGGGTTTCTGGAAGCTTCTGGAAGGTAGAACCCAGGGCTGGTGGGAGATGGCCCCTTCCTGTCTTCTGGGATATCCCTCCAGCTCACCCAGTGGGTCTGGGCTACCCCTCTGCCCAGAATCCTGAGGTTTGAAGAACCATGGGACTCAGCTAAGTGAGGGCAGTATCAGGATTTAAACCATCAGCAGGCCTCCAGAGCCCCACCCTGGCCACATCACCAGGGCCCAAGACCTGTCTGCTTCCAAACTAAGTCACCCCTCGATTAACTCAAGAAGCCCTGGAAGCTGGGAAGGCCCAGGGCCCTGTCCCTCTGCAGAGTGAACAGCCTCGCCATGGCCAAGCGGGTGTCAGCGAAGGGAAAAGGGCCTCCCTCAGCAGCAGCCACAAGCCCACCAGAATGGCAAGCTTTTGCTTGGGACACACTATGTTCTGATGGCCACCACAGGAGCTCCAACCTCAGAAACTGTGAGGACACCCCGAGATGGAGGAGCCAAGGGGAAGAAGAACCCATAAGCACCCCACCAGTCTCATCCCCATGGCAGTAGAGACCTCAGGCAGCAAGAATGAGGAAAGTGGCTCAGGACTAACTTTGTCCATTCTCCTGCCTCCAGCCAAGCCCACAGCTCACCAAGAAGGATGTGTGGGAAGAGGTAGCACCAAGCCCCACGGGCTCCAGATCTGCCTTGAAGAAGGGGCTTCTATCCAGAAGAGCTGGGCACTGGCTGGGCTGGTGTTCCCCCTCCTGGGGGCTTGCATGATGACCCTCATGCAAGCCCAGGTCTGTGAACTCCTTCCCCAGATCCCTGTCCTTAAGAGCCCTGAGGTGGAATCTCCTGACACATCCCTGTGAGGACCACCCACCAAGGAGCCAGCACGCCTAGAATCTCAGCCACCATCAGGCCCTGGACACACCATCAGCGGCTGTCTGGGACACTACTGGGGTCACTGCCAGGCCAGCCAGACCCTGAGGAGCTTAGCTCAGGCCCAGGTGCTAAGTTCAACATCAGTGGCACAAGATGATACACTGAGAAGCAGTTGACCATCTCTTACTGATGGGTAAACTGAGTCAATGGCTGAGTCCAGGAATCTGTCCTCTTATAACCAAGCCCTTGAATGATGGGAACCCTGAGCCACCTTATGCAGAGGGAAAGATCAAGTCTCACAGTCATATGGCCACCAGCAGGACTGGGGTCCATTCGTCCAACTCCTGGACTGCCCCTCTTCCTGCCCCCTCTACCTGATAGACTGTCCCCTCTCTTGTTTAGGGTCATTCTAGAAATTTCTGAGGTAAGGATATTCCTTCCCTTCCTAACACCAAGGAGCCCCGCCTGCCTGTCTTTATTTCTTTGGCTAGCCGTGACGGGAGGAGGGAAATCCGAGCCAAGTCTCTATCCCTTGGTCAGAAAGAATAGCGACAGAGAGATCGTAACCCAGAGATTCCAATCACCAACCCAGAGACAGGATGTCCTAGCAAGATTGCCCCAAACCAGGGCCTCTCCCAGACTCCCACAGCTGCTTAGAGCTGACCTCAATGATGCTGACCTTGGCTCTAAGACTATGAGCAGTTAGGGGACAAGCAGTGCCTGGATCTAGGGGGCTGGATTAGAAGGGTGAGGAGGGGCTGAGTCCACGGAAACCTACACCTGGGGCTCTGCTCTCTCACCCTTGTTAGGACTTTTCAGGAGGAATCTCAAGAGGTCCTAGGGGGCACCATGGTGGGGAGTGTCCCATGACAAAAGCTTCCTTCAGGGATGGAGAGAAGGAAGGGAAGTAGATGAGGCTGACCTCACCTCTAGAGACAGGTGGAGGCTGCTCAGGTCAGGACCTGCCACTCCCACTAAGGGATGTTCCCCAGCTGAAGGGTGGGGCTCCTGGCAGGGATGGAGGCAACCAGGCCTAAAGAGGGACCAGGCTTTTAAACTGCAAAATGCTGCCAGGATTAGTTGGCCAACAGCCAGAGCCGCCTGCAGACGGAAGATCAAGATACAGAATCAGGCAGTGGAGGGGGATGGCAAGCCAAAGGTGTGAGGAAGCCTTTTGCAGTGGATGGCTGAGAAGCCAATCGAGGGAGGAGTCCTGAGTAACAGAGCAAGGTTGAGCAACGCCCCATGACCGCCACCCTCAAGGTCCGCACCCCACCTCGCTCTCCCCTCCTGAGGATCCTAAACACATGGGTATCTGTCCCTTGAGACTGAAGACTTAACAAATACAAACCCATCTCTTAACATGTCCGTCCGGATCGCAGACTTGTTAGGGTCTCCACCGACGAGTAAACATGGTGGACAAGGTGGCTACCATTCCTTCCACCTTCAGTTCCAGTAGCTGCCCACAGTCAACCATAGTGGACTTGGGGGCAAGAAGGGTACCAGTGCCCAAATCCCAAGAGAGGAAGGACAAGGAACACAGACTCTAGAGTCAGGCAGAACTGGAGGCCACTTGGACTGTCACTCATTTACCTCAAGACCTGGGAGCAGCCACTGAAGGTCTCCAAGTCCAGGTATCCCCTCCTCCCTCCAAGGGCTGCTGAAGATTGAGGCAGGCAGCATCTGTCCCACACCCAGGTCAGTGCCCAGCACACATGCCCCAAGGTATGAGTCCGTTAGCCATCAGGGGCAACCAAGGTATCCAGGGATCTGCCTGCCTTCCTGAGAAGCTAAGGTCTGTGAACCTGCCAGAGACCAGCCACATTTTCTGCCTGGTCCTCAGCCCAACAGGGACACAGGACGCTGTGAGGCAAAGACAAATCACCCCAGGAACCCAAAGCTACGCTCAGCCCAAAAGTTCGGGAGCGACTTACCAGCTCTCAGCTCAAGCCTAAAGCCAGGATCTAACAGCACCCACCCCAAAAAAACTGCACAGGACCGTTGGAATTTGGAAAGTTTTTGTTTTCTTTTTCCCACACATTTCCAGGGTTGGGGTGTTTTCCAAGATTCAGACACATTTGTTAACAAAGAGAGAAAAAAAACTGGGGGAGCAGAGAGCCCGTGGGCAGAGAAGTGACCCCAGCAGTCTGTGGACAACACCTTGCTCCCTTTTCCCTGCTGCCCGCGCCCAGCGGGTGCCACAGGCTGCTGCTCGTGGAATCTAGAGTATTTGCTGTAATATATATCTGCATTTGCCTTTCCCCTCCCTCCCACCCCCCACCCCTGCTCCTCCAGCAGCTTCCCCATCAATGCACGTCGCCCGGCAGCACACACAGAACAGGCCTTCAGCCAGGCCTGAGCCCCTTCCCTGGCTGGCACCAAACAGGTGCCTCTCCTGGTGAGGGGAGTTGGGGCACCTGGGGACAAGCCCACTGCCCCACCCCACCCACCCACTAGGCCACTCGGCCCACCCTCCCACCAACTCTGGAAACCCAAAGGGAGGAAAGGAAGGGAGAAACCAGACATACAAAAAAAAGTGGGGAAGGAGGGTGGGGACAGTGAGACAGCAAGCCTGGGATGGGGACTGGCAGGCTTGGGAAGAGAAGGAAGGCAGGAGAGACAGAAGAAGGAAGAAGAAAAATTGAGGAAAATTAACGGAACGAGTAGTGGACACTTTACAAAACCCCCAGCCTTCCTTCCCACCCGACCCCACCAAAATAAAACTACCCCCCTTAAAAAAATAAATCAACCCAGGGCTGTGAGCACGTGCCCTGCCTGGCAGGCGCAGAGCTGAGAGGGACAGTCAGACCAGGGACTGACGAGGCCGCGCGAGGTGAACGGCAGGAGGAAGGGGACTAGCACGGGGTTTTCCTTTTCTTTTTTTTGCGTTTCCTCTTCGTGAGAGAAGCCTGAGGCGGCCAGGGAGAGGGTCCCCAGGCCCCTGGCAGGGAGAGGGTGGCACCCTCATCCCGGGCCCTCCCAGGAAGGGCAGCTGGCAGTGGGGCGAAGTGCCAGGGATTCAGACGTAATACTCCTTGTCTTTGTTTTTCTTGGCCTTGCTGGGCGTCTTGGGAGCAGCTGGGGCCTTCTCTTTCACCACCGCCCCATTGCTCTGGGCCGAGTTACTGATGTAGTTCCGGCTCTGGTCCACCTGGT